GTAGCATCAAGATACAAGCAAAATCAGGGTCTTCCTCGTAATCTATCAACCAAATGAAAACAATGGAATTATTTAACATGGCTTATAAAAAATAATCTGTTCTATATCAAATCCATTTCTATTACAAGAAGAAATACAAAGAAACAAGAAGAAAATGCATAAAAGCATCAGTAAGAAGCTCGAGAAACTTCAACTTCAGCACCTCTAGTGGAGTAGATGAAATTCTTCACAGCTTCAAACAAAGCAAGAGCATCTGTCTTATTATACATTTCTAATCCATGAAAATCTCCTGGATTAAATATATGAACCACTGATACATTGAGAAACTTCAACTTGCGTACAAACTCCCTGGACCGATCAGTCATTGGGTCTCCTTCACAGTCCGCCACAAACAATCTAGAAGAACGTCGGACTTTCTCGAACTCAAAAGTGAATGGATTACTGAATTCATGATTGCTGTACAAGATCTCAATGTATTCCAGGTTCAACTTGGCACTTAAATGCTCAAAATAGAATCACAGAATTGGGGAGAAATTCGCCTGCAGCTATTGATGGTACTCTGCACATGTGAGAGCCCATACCAGCTCACCATTTACCAATCTAAAATCCTGAAAATTCTGCCAATTGTTCCACAGATTCATTACTCCGAAACCTGTTACCACATGGTTGGCTGCCAGGGTGGTGTGAAAACCAACAATCTGATTTGCAATTATATTTGTCTAAGAATGTTGCCTACAGAAGCAAATGCCAATCTCATTAGCTTGCCCAAAAGGCAATAGTAGAAGCTGATTATCACCAAAGAATGAGTGGTCAAAAACTGTAGCATGAGTTCTTATCAGTAAGCTTGCCTGAACAACTACCACAATATATCCATTTCACTATCAATTAATTCATCATCATCAATAGTTCCAAAATATTTTAGAAGACCCACCAGCAGAATTCAAGTAAACAAAACCCCAGAAAAATCAATAAACAAAAGAAAACCTAAATATGCTATAAATCAGATTAATGGTGGGTTTTACCTCCGTGATCTGCATCCATGTTTGAACTCATTGTGGGTTGAAATTTACAAGTAACGATCTTGTGCATTGGCTGAACAGGTTTGTTCAACTAAAGGTTTTGGAGGAATTTAATGGCG